ATAGTGCTTCTTCCAACTTTCTTAATTAGACTCAAAAAGATCTGAACCTTATTACTGCACATACACGTCACCACATTTTTGTGATAAACTTGCATTCACTCATACTAATATAAGGGAGTCAGGCACCCTTTGATTCTTCTTCAGTGGACAATATGAGAAGGCTCATAGAACGTTCAGGTGCTCCAGGGCATATATATCCCTTGGCTCTTTAATGCTATGACATCATGCCCCCTCCACCCCAGGTGTGTATTTGTTTTTCAGTTTGTCGTATAATTTTTTTTCTCTTGTGACTTGATGGCATTTTTTTCAGGTAGGAAAAGAAATTGGAGAAAGAAGAGTCAATCTCCTTTCATGGGGCTGGATTATCAGTAGCACCAAAAATCAGCCACCAAAAAATTGCTGCTGCTTCTGAAAAGTCTGAAGAGGTTGGTTGCATTATGGATTTGTAAATACAATTTCTGATACTTGACCGTAATGTGGTATTTGAAAAGTTAATCCAATCCTCTAAAATGAGAGAAATAATTTATCTTAGCTGTAGCATGATACAGCATCTGATCAGTGCAGACTTAAATTTTGTCTGTGATTTTCACATGAGCTTTATCATCTATGTTGAAGATGATCAACCACACTTGCAGATATTGACTGTACCATCAAAACTTATTTCATCTTAACGAAATGACCATACCACAAAGATACATGCATGGTTATGTTTAGCTACACCAAGTGTTTCCATGGGCATGTGAATCCGTCATCCAGCCATTACAACCATTTGCACCAAATTAGCCAAGACTCTGAAACCTGGCTTGTACTTCTCATCAGCAGTGGTCTTTGTCAATTTTAGTAAAATTTCTATTTATTGCTATGTCTAGAACTCTAGATGATATTCTAAAGAACTTTGTCATGTATATCTTTGCTTTTTGATTACTTGAGTATGAGTTGGCTTTCCTTTTGGGCAGGCTAAGGATGTATATACACAAGCTCTGTACAAATCTGCGACAGAGCAATACAGTGTTCTCAAATCTGCCATACATGGCAAACAAGGATTAGCGGCAACAACTGAAGGTGTCTCTTTGTCGCAGCCATGGAACTAGTCAAATCCTTATCCCGATCTCACATTGGGTTATAGGTAGTGTCTTAATTTTGTAGTGTATTGTTAAGTGTAGAACTAACGCTTTCTGCAGTTTTAGAATTAGATTCTTCCGATCTTATATATTAGTCAATTGGTTTGATTTGTGGCAGGCCTAGTCTTTTCCTTCCATAAGCTTTAACTCCTTAACAAGAAGCAGCCAGATTCATAGATATAAGGATGCCTTGCAAGAGTAACCCTATTTATTTCTTGATAACACTATTGATGACATCAGCCACAAATTACCTTCTATGAGAACCGAATCCATCAGAAACTGAGGCTATCCCAAAGATTCTCCTTCCACAGGCAATTCATCCGTGTAATTTTAATAAGGTGCTCTTGAGTGAAGATTCTCTCTAATTGGAACCATAATTTCATTGTCAATAAATTGGCTCCTATACTTGTAATTTGAAGTCTGAGCACAGTTACCTTTCATTGAAATCAGTAGTTGAGAGTAATTCATGAGGAAAAAGCATGCCTTAGACCAGCTGGATATAAACTCGAAAAATCTAGCTTAAGATTTGGTCTGAGTTGGGCCAGGCCCACGGGCTTCACTTCACCTATGGACGGTTATAGTGTTGTGCTAGTATATGTTTGTATTTGGACATTTACAAGCAATGTAGTAGTATTATTATTTATTGGTTATAAAGTGCACCTCACGTGATTAATGACAAGATCAGAAATTGTTCTTCGGATCTAATAATCCTTCCAAAGCTTTTGTATCTCGTGTTTTACTTTGCCTCTTGTTTTCTATGTTTATTGTTTGTTGTGCAAAGGGAAGATCACAAGCGCTTTCCCCACTGCATCTTCCAATTTAAAAAAAGCACGAGAATGCTTTTCTTTCACTTTTTTTTTGGTTTTATATATGTGGATTACAACAAGAAGAGGAAGCCAAGTTAATAGACTAAAAAAAACTCTCTATCCCCCATAACATGTCCATGTGTCAAGGGGCATGCCTTTCTTTATGTACTTGTTAACCATTTGATTAATGTTGCATACACGAGGTTTTCGAATCATCTCACATTCTTTGATATCCAAATTTTATTTTCATTTTTTTTTTTATTGCATATAACGATACTGCGACACTGCATTTTTTCTTACACCGCTCTTGATTGTAGCTCTCCGAAGTTGCAGTTTTTCAACCCTAATTAATTAGATTTAGATATCTGACAATAATATTTATTCTAATTACTTAATAGTAATCATAGTATAGCATTTCCATGTTGCTGGAAATTAAGAAATTTTGCAAAAAATTGGCAGAAATGATTATTATGAGAAAGCTGACGACCACACAATAATTTCTATTAGTCCATGTAAACATTATGAAGTCTAGTTTTCTTTCATGGAATAAAATCTTTTAGGCATGCATGCTGTATGCTATCCATTCTTATTACTCTTGCAATTAATTATGTCCTTACAAGAACTTGAACTAATTGTGTCCTCCACCATCTCTTCTTTTTTATTTTTTTTCTTCTACCTTAATTATAATTATTATTCATTTTCTCCTCTTAATCTAATTTGTTTTACACCCAAAGCTTAGTGTCCTTTCTTTACCAATCGGAACCAGTTTCACTTGGCAAATTTTCTTTTGCTTTTCTCAAATTTCACCATTTCTAGTGGGTCCAAAGCTAAAGATATTTTATCTCAATTATTAAAAAAAAGTTTTAAATAAAATTTTTTACCCCCCAAATTTAAATTTCACTAGCCAGAGGCTACTAATTATTGCAGGGCAGAAAATAAAAAGAATTGAGCCCACGTGGAGCCCAAATATTGGTGGGAAAGTGGGGTCTCGAGAGCCGCCAGATGCACAAAATGAAAAGTGGGCGAGGCATCACCATCGGATAAGCTGATTGCGGTCCCTTTTGACTTGCATTTTCCCAAGTCAAATGAGAAATCAAGGTTGGGATTGAACGTCAAGATACAATGTTGGGTGACAAGCGGGGCGTGTGCCCACGCGCCACCCTATCTGCTCCTCCACTGGTAAAATAGTGCTGCTTTCAGGTGGAGAGGCTGTTGAATATATCAAACAGCACATCATCACAGACATGGTGGCTTTAATTTTGGGTCCCACTTTTGTTTGATTTGGAACATTTGTGGGTTCTTTTTTTTTTTTTTTTTAATTCTCGGGAGGCAATAGCATGAGATGGGATTGGCATAAACTTTTATTTTGTGGAAAATCTATGATTTTAAGTTTGTTTTAATAAATTTTACTTTTTTCTCTTTATTTATGAGAGATAAAATTAGACAGAAGAAAGATAATTTTTTTTTCAGATATTTAATTCTTTTTGATAATAAATTTATTTCTAAATAAAAAATAACGACAAAATTAATCAATTAAAAAAATAAAAAATAAATTTAAACTACTTCCATAAATAAAGTAATAAATATGCTTTTTATCGCGCATGTAAATCTACAATCAAATTTATAATAAAGTACTAATGTTCCATAGAAAAATTAAATATTTTATAAATGCATTGAGGTGTTGACTGATTAATTTTGATGGAAAATGTAATCATTTTCTATTATTTAGCAGTAAATATTTGTTTCTTCGATTTGTTTAGGTGGGAGTAATTGAAAAGAATGAGTTGTACTGTTTTCAGGTGCACCCACATGTCATTATAGTCTTAATTAATATAAAGAATCACGATGCTTTGTATTGCTTTTCATCTAAAAAAAATTGATCTAACTTTTTTTTTTTTTTTGGATTCATCTATTTTATAATAATTTCACATAACGTGATGATTTATGGTTTTGTTTAGGCTAATATCACGGGACTTTGTGGTATTTAATTCTTTCATTATCATCGTTAATGTGGCTTGGCCTTATGTTACGTGATTATTATTTTTTTCGTAAAATCGATTTATTAATATATGTTTATCAACATTTAAATTTTATTAAAAATAAAAAAAAATCAAAGACAAGACAAATTTAAATTTGAAATTTGTCGTTGTTTTAGGGGAAAAAAAAATTGAAAGTGTGAACAGGATATGGGTTATTTTGCATTGAAATTAAAATGAGGGAAGATAAAAATTGTGTTTTCATACTGTATATGTTAATGTGAGGGAAGGTGGTCCAATAATTAGTGATATTTATAATCTTTGTTTTCAATCCTCAATGATTTTGGCAAATAAAAGAAAAAAGGGGTTTTGGTTATCTTTTGACGAGTTTCGATACATGCATGCATTTTTTGACTTAATTGGCAGCAAAGTTCACTTTTCATATGATTATGTCTGAAATCTAAATGCATTAAGAGCAGACAAGAAAAGATTATGTTTAAATACTTAATATTAGTTTTACAAACCAATGCAGCTATTATTGACATTATTACCAAAACCACCATAATATTGAGTATCAGGCTCTCGTGTAAATTTGTTCATAGGTTAGGTCAAATATATTTATTATTTATATTTATATAATTTTAAATTAAATGTAAATAATAATATTTTTATTTATTTAACAATAATTTGGATGAGATAACGCTTAATCCAATCTTTAAAAGTTATGTTCAAAACCAAATTTTATATGAGTTTAACTTAAAAAAAAAAAAATTGAGCCATCTGATTAATCTTGTATGTAAGAAAGTATATCCTTAAATCGTTTGTAAAGAGATTAAGACTGTAAAATTTGATACATCCTTAAACGGTAAAAAAAAAAGGTTAACCTTATATTTATATATTTACATATTGCCTAATTAAATCACCATGGTTATTATATTTTAATTTAGGCTAAATAGCAAAATAAGACATTGAACTTGTGTAGATTTGCATTTAAGCTATCGTACTCATAATTTTATTCAGTGTCCCCATTGATCTTTATTAATTATACAAATAAGCCCAATTGTTTACCAAACACTGAACTTCCAATATAGCAGCTTGCTTACTCTGGAGGATCAAAGACGAGATTTAAGTATTGACCCCTGCCCTTTACTGTACTTCTGACTCGCAATGAAGTCACGCACATACATCAGATTCAGACAGACACCTCTGGGTTTTTCAGGTTTTTCTTTCTCTTTGTGCTGAGAATATCAGTTTGAACTTTTAAGTTAAGTAAAGCGAACTCCTTTCCTTTCTCTTTTATTCTCTCTCTCTCTCGCTCTCTTTATTTGCCCCCTAGCAGTAGCACCACTGAAAAAATTTTCGCTGAAACAGCCTATCACTCTCTGCGTTTAGTACTCTGTCACTTGCGTTGCCAACTCATATGTTTTACTTCTGCCAAAACAGCCTGAAAAATCTCTCTCTCCCTTTGAACTCTAACGCATCTCGCTGAATCTAACCCATTATTAAAAATTAAAGAAAAATGAAATGGTTTTGCACAAATCTAGCTAGGCAAAACAGAAGCTTTATCTACAAAATCTTATCTTTGGTTTATCTTAGCTCTCCCATCACTGCTTCTGCACCTTAAATAAAGAGACCCCATTAAAACCTATTCACCTTACTGTTTTAAAAAAGGAAGAGCTTCTGCTTTAGTATTTTCTTACCCAAACAGTACTGTATTGAGAGACCCCACTTTTTCTATCATGCATTCAAGCTTCTTCCTTTTTCAATGAGTTGGGGTTGGGTTAGCTCTTCTTCTTGGGGGTGAATGGGGTGTATGTTTTCTCAGTTGGCTGCCAAATTTTCTTTCTTCCCACCTTCTCCACCAACATATCAGATCAAGAAGAGTGAAAATGGGAAACTCACGGTGGTTTCATCTTCTTCTTCAATGCCTATTCCTGTTGCCGATGACACTTCCTTGGATGTGCTTTTGATAGACACCAAACGTGGGAACAAGATTGTTGCTTTTTATTTGAAAAACCCATGTGCACGCCTTACCGTGCTATATTCTCACGGCAATGCTACTGACCTTGGCCAGCTCTATGACCTCTTTGTCCAACTGAAGGTCAACCTCAGAGTCAATCTTATGGGGTCGGTATTTTTTCTTTAGATTTTTTGTGTTGGTTTTTTAAATTTTCATTTTATTTTTTGGTTAAAAATTTTGTTCGCTTTCACTTATTTGTATTTTTCTTGTGTAAGTTGGTTGTTTTTGTTTAATATTGTTTGCATTTGGTAAATATCATGTTTTTAATGCCTCTTCCAAGCTTTCCTCTAGGTTACTCTTTTTTTTTCTTATGTGTGTTACTTTAAAAAAAAAATTGCCCTTCTTTTTATGTTGTGTACTATTTCTAGTCTATTTGCCAAGTTAATTTTTGCACTAATTTCACCTTCTTTTTATTTTCATTTCACTCTACTTTTCAAGCATTTAAATCTTATCTCCGCATGGGTTCTTTCGTTTTGATTTTCTGGGCTGTCTTTTGTCATATTTTCCTGTTTTGGGTCTGTCATATTTGGCTTAGATCTGTAATTAGCACTACTAGTGCTCATGTCTAACTTTTGAGTTTTGTCTTTCTAGATAGTTACTCTTTTTCAAGGTATTCACTATTCAGTGGGTAATGTGGTTCAGGCTTAATGCCTCGATGGTCTGTAGTCATTTCTATCTTTCCCCATTTCTGCAGTCACTTTTTAGTTTTCCCTGCATAAAGTGATTGATTTTCAGTCTTAGATTTTTGTGCCTTCTGGGGCACTGTGAGGTGCATCTCTTGGTGTTCTTTTGGGAGATCTACATTTGTCTGTCGCTTCAGCTTCAAATTTTCCACAATCAGGTCTCGAGGAAAAGCAAATGTACAAAACTTTATCTTTATCTAATCCTAATGCATTTTTGTTGACATTACTTTCATTTGAGATTTTGGTTTGATCTCAAGAAAACTTTAACTAATACTTGTGTTGCCCATCCTGCATCTAGCATCTGATGTAGTGTTGAATCTGGTAGTTCAAGTTGATGGCTTTTTATTTTGATCCAATGGCATGGAATTCAGCTGTAGTTTCATCTTGCTGTTGATTTTCATGTGCTACTACTTTATTAATTGGGTTGATTTTGATCTTCCATGCTTAATGCTACACTGCAGGTATGACTATTCTGGCTATGGAGCATCTACTGGTAAGGTAGGTCATTGTCTATATGATGCAGCATAAATCATGTTTCGTTCAAACTTCAGTTTGTAGCTGTGTACTGATTTGCTCATGCATACGAGGGATGGTCATCCACTATTTGATAGATGAAAATTTCATATTATTCCTGTTTTCGCCTGCAAAGATGCTGTAACTAGATTCTGATGATATTTACCCAATTGGGAAGTTATGAAAGGATCCAAAGTATTGTGAGAAACCAATGGAAGGCAAAAAAAAGTTGATTATTTGAGCATAAACCTAAGAAGTCTAGGAACATCAAACTAAAATTGACTTGCATTATCTCTTGGTTGATACCTTTGAAAATAATGGACTCCTGGTCCCTTCTCCTCTAATTGGACCTGAATTATGTGTTTTGGCTTCTCCAACTGTCTTATTTAGAAGTGTGGTGTGGCGTCTTTGCTAATGCTTTTAATTTAATGATTGCCAGCCAAGTGAATCTAATACATATGCTGATATAGAGGCAGTGTATGAGTATCTTCAGACTGAGTATGGAATTAGCGAGGAAGACTTAATTTTATATGGACAGTCAGTTGGAAGTGGGCCAACATTACATTTGGCAGCTAAACTACCAAGGCTAAGAGGTGTAGTTCTGCATAGCGGCATTCTTTCTGGTCTTCGTGTGCTCTGCCATGTTAACTTCTCATTCTGCGTCGACATTTATAAGGTAATGATTCATAATTGTCTGCCTTGTGAGGAAGATACCTCACACCATTGATTTTAAGAGCAGTCTGATAATTCAAATATTAGTTTATTGAAGTAATGGTACTTTGTCCGTTGACACTATTGGGAAGGTTAAAAGGCATATGAACTAAATTTGAGCACTGTTGACGTGCTTTTGCTATTTCTGCTGCTATGCTTGAGCTAATTACTGTCCTCATAAATGCAGAATATCAACAAAATTCAGAAAGTGAAGTGCCCTGTGCTTGTAATACATGTAAGTACCTTTCAAAAGTTTCAAACGTTATGGATCTCACATTTTCAAGTATGCCTGCTGTCTTATTTTGTTTGAAATTAAGACATCAATATAAAACTCTTGACAATTCCCGAAGCCTTAGGGAGTTATGAAATATATTTTATTTCGTAACTCAATAATGTAACATTATAATTAAGCAATTAGCACTTCTTGTTTGTCTCTTATAATAAAAGTATGCAATAAATTATTACTAGTTGCCTAGTTGGGTTGCTTTTAATAAGCGTGTAAGCTTATTATCAGGGTCTTGATTTAGAGTTTATGCTGTGGTCTGAGGTTCAATAGTATAACTTGCTTTGGTAAATTTCTATTTTGCGTTGAACTGCATGGTTTTTGCTTGTGTGGTCCGAGCTGCATCAGCCTCGTCTAATACTTCTTAATATCATTAATTTTCATCATAGTTTTTTGTTAATCAAATTTTAAGACGGTTGGATGGAATGTTAATCAGGGTACAGAAGATGATGTTGTCAATTGGCTGCATGGAAATGGACTTTGGAAAATGGCGAGGGAGCCATATGAGCCTTTGTGGATTAAAGGAGGTGGTCACTGCAACTTGGAGCTATTCCCTGATTACATACGCCATCTTTGTAAGTTCATTTATGAAATGGAGAACATGACAACAGAAATTCGCCTTAAGAGGATTCGGCAGAGTCTCCGTCTTCCAACAAGGTCAAATACTAGTTCCTCGGTTACTAGCGACTGGTGCTGCTGTAAGATTAAATTATGCCAACCCAAATGCTTCAAATGCCCCAAATGCCCAAAACCTAGATGCAGTAAATGTTGCTGGTGGCCCAACGGCTCATGTTGTTTGAAACCCAGCCATGTAAACTGTTGCTGGAAACCAAAATGCCCGACATGCTTGCTGGGTTGTTCCTGCTGCTGCATCAAATGCTCAGAGTGGAGATGTTGTGTGGGTATACATAATGAGTTAAATGGCAGTGGCACGCGGGAGGTCTAATGGTGAATGTGCTGTATTGTATAGGTTGCTCAACTAGCTAACACCCATGCTCTAATCATTAGCAGTAATGTACAAAACAAAAGGAAGGACTTTTTCTTTCTGAAATTTTTAGGAAAAATTGATTGAATGTTTTCATCATATTGGGTATTCTTAAAATTGGGATTTTTTTTTTAATTATGGGCTGGTTCAAAAAAGAAATATATTATCCTATTTTCTGGTGCTTTCTTATAAATTTGTCAGTATGCTGAAACAAATTTGTAGGATCCAACCCAAAATAAAATCAAATCAAATCAAAAGTCAGATAGACAATAGACACGAACAATGCAATATGCATAGTTGTAGAAAAGATTATATATTCTTTAGAAAAAAAAAGAATAAAAGGAATAGAAAAGGTAAATGTTGTGGGAGAGAAGTATTTGTAATAATATTATGACATTTTCATCGGAAACATTGGCAAAGTTCTGTTTCAATTAAGTTATTGTTTAGGCCATATTGATAGAATAGGTTATTTTCTGGGTCATAATAATTTTATTAATACTAGGATAAGCTTGAGTCGTCCAACGACAACAAAAACAATAATAATAATTATTTTATTATTATCAAATAAAATAGTCGAAAACAAGAGTTAAATTTGGTAAATAACATGTAGTATAAATTTTTTTTAATCTTTTGAATTATAATTGAGATTCGCTGAAACTTTATTTTTTGAAATTAATTTAAATATCATTAAAATAATATTCGTTGGTAACACTTAATATATGATTTATGTTACAACTAAAAAATTAAAAAAAATAAAAAATAAAAAAGAATAAAAGGAATAGAAAAGGTAAATGTTGTGTGACAGAAGTATAGTTAATATATTTTGACATTTTCATGAGAAACATTGTCAAGTTATGTTTCAATCAAGTTATTGTTTATGCCATATTGATGGGATAGGGAATATACTGGGTCATAATAATTTTATTAATACTAGGTTAAGCTTAAGCAGTCCAACAATTATTATTATTATCAAATAAAATAGACGAACACAAGAGTTAAATAACATCTACATGGAATTGGAAATTGACCATCAAAAAGGGGTGTTCATCCCACGAATTTGATTTGGTATTGGAGATTTTGAAACCTAGCAAAAATATTTTATTTCATAATTTTTGAATCCAAATCAACATTACAAAGGGGTGAAACTCAAAATGACATAATTCAGTTCGACTTTGATTGGTCAAACTCAAAGCAAAATGCCCATTTTCTAGTATTGTGGTTAAAATGCCCATCTCAGTCGTGTTTGTCAATATCAAAGTTAGATTTTGCCCAGAAACTTCCTACTCTTCTAGATAGAACCAGGGGCAAACAGTTCTACTATATATACATAACATCATTAGTTGCATCAAAGTCCAGACTACAGAGAGCATTATCTATTGTAATAGGTAGCGACGCTTTCAGAATGAAATTGAATGGGAAAAGAAAAAGAAACAGAGAGCAAAGTCATCATTTATTGTCTTGAAAAATGGAAAATAATACAGATTATAGAGGTAATTAAGCAAAGCAATACCTTTTGGAGTTGAGAAAGGAAAAGGACAGCCGATAAAAGTAATATTTGCTTTCATTTCCATCATTCATTCACGCCAACACCAAAAATAAAGGAAAAGGGTGATGGAGGATGGACCCACAGGGGGCATCCCAACACCAACTCAGCCGAATGTTTTCGTTTTCAGGTTTAATGGCCAAAATTTCTCTTCTTCATATTTACGTTTTTCCCCTCAGATCGCCTTATTTTACACAATGTTGTCCCAATAGTTTCCTTTGGTTGGCCCCTTCGAGAAACTGAGAAACCTACAGCCATTTGGTCATAAGGAGAAATGTCCCACTAGCTTCTGAATTGTAAATTTGATTATCGAATTGGGATACTTGAAATTTTTCATTTTTTTTTCTGTTTTATTTGTGATATTTAGGGATGGGATATCAACTTGCCCAAAAATGTAGGAACAAAATTAAGAATGTGGTTATAGCATCATTCCAATTGATGTTTGAAATTGGTGTTAAATCATGATAATATGGAATGACAAAGGGCTTCACCATGTGCGAAAGCTAGCAATAATCCTTCCTTTCTTTTTTTTTCAGGAAAAACCTTAAAAGATTTTTTTCTCATGTGTTTTGAGTATTAATTGTTGGTCCGGAATTGAATAATGGGCAAAGCAGCCAAACTGTAAAGTAGCAAGTTATCTAATATAATAAGAAAAATTATTTGATATATTAATAATAAAATTTTTTAATTTGAAATTAAGATTGATGACGATATATTTTTTTTAAATTAATTTTTATTTTTTAATATATAAAAAAACATGTCATTATCTTAATTTTGATTATAAAATTAAAAAGTCTCTCCTACAAATCTATTTGATAACGTCACATGTAATATTTGCAATAAACAATAATAGTACATTGTAGTATTATTTTTATAAATCATTTATTATAGAAAGTTCAAAGCAGAAGCAACCTCAGTAGATATTTAAAATTCAAACAGGTTTGACAACCTCCAACATAAACTCACTGACGTTGGAACTAAACCCAAACACCGCGTAGACTGCTCCGGCAGTTTAAATACCAAAAATAACCTCCATAAATATTCAAATTTGCGCTTCATCCTTCTTCTCGTTCTCCTGACCTGACATCCAAGGGAAAAAGGGCACCCGGGTTTTCCGCAATAATCTTGCCATGTCTGAATATCTCCGCAAACCTACTTTCCATACTAAAATGTAGTGGCAAAGCTGTCTATTCACTCCACTTTGTACCTTATTTTATAGTCGTCTTTGTCTCTCTTGTTTCTCTTTGGTTTAATTTTTTTGAATAAAAGAAAAAAGACCTTTTTTTTTGGGTTTTTTTAAAAAAAGAGACGATGACACTATGACAGTGGCTTGATATTGATGTTTAAGACTTGGTCGTTTCTAAGTTTCAAGGCCTTTGCTTGCTTTGTTGTACGCTTTTGAATATCTGGTTTCCCTCTTATTATATTATTATTCTTTTGCTTATAACATAATATTCTCCGTTAATATGTAAGCACTCATTAGGGACAGAGAGACAAGTAGTCAAATAGAGAGTTTAATTCTATAAGACAGAGCCTTTGGTCACTATTAGATCTAACTCTTTTTTTCTTCTCTCTTTCTACTGAAAACTTTCTGGGCTTTTTCTAATCTTATGTTTTAAGAAAAAAGAAGGGTCTTTTCCCAATAAGCAAAATATAAAACTTGAGAAGTTTCAATGTGTTTTAATATGTTTTAAACTTTTTCATGTTTTGCAGTTCTTTAAGATGTTTCTTTGTATATCAGGTTCTGGGAAAAAGTTTTCTTCTTTATCTGATTAGGATAAAGGCGAAAAAATGGCAAGTGAATCACATGTTATTAGAAGAGCACCCACAATTCATCATTTAACAAACTCGGCAGGTGATCTTGAGAATGAAATTAGCAGCGTAGAATTTGCTAGTTATACAGTTCATATTCCTCCTACACCTGATAACCAGCCAATGCCAATGGAAGTTGCTATGCAAGCAGTAGGAACTGAGGAACAATCTGTTTCGAATTCCATGTTTACAGGTGGTCACAATCGTGTTACTCGTGCTCATTCGAAGAAGATCATTGATTCCCGGGCAAGCCATCCCCGGTTGGTGGTTGCAGAAGGGTTACACTGTGAAATACCTGGATGCAGTGCCGGGATGATGACTAATAGGCAGGGCATAGATGTGTTCCCATGTGAATGTGGTTTCAGGATTTGTAAGGATTGTTATAGAGATGCAATGGGAAGTGGTGATGGCTTTTGTCCTGGATGTAACGAGCATTATAGGGGGTTAGATGAGTCTGAGATGGCGTTGGCTAGCCAATCACATTTATCTGAATCGGAGAGGAGGTTGTCAATGGTGAAATCAACAGGGTTCCTGATGAGGGGTCAGAGTAATGAGTTTGATTATACTCAATATTTGTATGAAACGAATAAGAGTTATGGGTATGGAAATGCTGTGTGGTCGATGGATGGTGTGGATGGGAACAAGGATGAGATTGGTGTTGATCCTAAGGTATTTCGTGACAAGCAGTGGAAGCCTCTTACACAGAAATCAAGCATTCGTACTGCAGTCCTAAGTCCATATAGGTATGAATCTTTTTTTTGTTAGCCTTCTGTTTCGACCGATCCGCTATATTGATTAGCTTTACCATCTTCTATTCGTACTTATTTTGAACAATGAATCATCTTGATTCCATATTCTGTTATAACATTTCATAACTGTTCTGAGCTTTAATCATGATTGCTACAGTAGTCATTTAAGTCATTTTAAGCTAGAATTGTTTTCTTTCTGGTAAAACTGTTTCGTACGTTTCAAATGGTTTGGAGATTGGATTATTTTGCTGCTTTGTTAAGTAATTGTAACATGATCATTTCACTGCTCACTTTCTTTTCGTTCCTCTGTCCTATGCTTACAGGCTCCTAATCCTTCTTCGAATAGCGGTTCTTGGACTATTTTTAGGATGGAGAATCAGACACCCAAATGAAGATGCTATCTGGTTGTGGTTTATGTCTGTGATTTGTGAGATCTGGTTTGCCTTTTCTTGGCTGCTAGACCAGCTTCCTAAGCTCTGTCCTGTTAATCGTACTGTTGATCTTGATGCTTTAAAAGAGAAGTTTGAAACACCGAGTCCGAATAATCCTTCGGGAAGACCTGATCTACCGGGCATAGATGTCTTTGTTTCTACTGCTGATCCTGAGAAAGAACCACCTCTTGTCACTGCAAATACCATTCTTTCAATTCTGGCAGCTGAGTATCCAGTTGAGAAGCTTGCTTGTTATGTTTCTGATGATGGAGGTGCACTACTAACCTTTGAGGCCATGGCAGAGGCTGCCAGTTTTGCCAGAATGTGGGTCCCTTTTTGCCGGAAACATGATATTGAGCCTAGAAATCCAGAGTCCTATTTCAATCTGAAGAGAGATCCTTATAAGAACAAGGTACGGCCAGATTTTGTAAGAAACCGCAGGCGGGTAAAACGTGAGTATGATGAGTTCAAGGTCAGGATCAGTGGTCTTTCTGATTCAATTCGACGACGTTCTGATGCGTTTAATACTAGAGAGGAGGTCAAGGTTTTGAAGCGTTGGAGAGAGGACAATAGTGATGAAACAACGGAAAGTTTGAAGATCCCAAAAGCTACTTGGATGGCTGATGGCACCTA